ATGCATACTTGCTCTCTTGTAGAAATGTGAGGCTGATAGTTACAGAAGTCGTGAGGAGTTTCTTGTTGATCTTAATCAAATAGTTGATAACAGTATCACATATAATGGACCAACCAGTCCCTTTACTGTCACTGCCCAGAGTATGAGGGAAGTGGGACTACAATATCTTGAAGAGGTGAAGGGAGAGAATGAAGCTAGTATTGCTTTGGCTGAGATTGGTTTAGACTATGATCTATTAATTTAAAATTTTACTGTTGAAAACAGCATAGTTACATGTACTATTGTAGTTATGATTTGCATGTCACCAAAAAATGACTACAAAATTACTTGGTTATGAGCATGTTTAGAAACAAGCAAATTTTGTCATGTACTTTTTATCAATAAGAAATTTATGCTTTGCTCTTACACTTTTGATATTTTATATTCTGTTGCAGTGTACATGTATCTGAATGTAATTACTATTTTTACCATTATTTTAGGAAAGAGAACATTTTGAACAATATGAAAGCCAGTTAGGACCTTTTGACAAGTCACCACTAAATGAACCAGAAGGACTAGGAGGAGAGAGTGGAGATGAGGAGGCAGAGGAAGAAGATACTAGTACTAACATGAATATTACTGGACAATCCAGTGTCATCATTACTAGTGAAGACAGTATTCAGGTATAGAAAAAAACAGATATATAGCAGAAAATTTTGGAAAGAGTTAAAATTGGAAAATTTGGTGTTTCTATAGCCATTTGCCAAAATATAATTTACCATTTTGAGCCATTATGCACATGCTCAATGGCATATGGCCACAAATTTGCCGAATTAAAAATCACCAATCACCCAAGTTTAGCAATTCACAAAAATTTATTTGCTCCAAAATTTCCTGGTGTACAGTATGATAGTTGTTGATTGTCGAATGACTGTATAGATTGGGACTATAGATGTTGAAGGCACAGATGAAGAGGATATAGAGAAAGGGAGGAAAGGAGAAGGATTGATAGCCAGTAGTTTGTTACCAGTCACTGGTGGTGGTATGGACATATTGAGTCATTATTTACAATATTCATCATCATCAAGCAGTGAAGGAGAGGGGGAAGAGGAGGATATTACTGATATGGAAGAAGTGTAACTCTGTTTATGTGTAGGTATCATAAAACATTCATTTTTAACTTAATGCACGAAAAATGGTTAAAATATTTTGCTTGCATGTACTATAGTCCTACAAAATGTATAGTGATACTGATTAATATACAACCAGTTGCCTTGTGATGGATGTGTTACTGGTCAAGCAGCTGCAGGTCATCAGACTCCTGTGAAGATCCCTTGCATGCTCATGTAGCTGCCCTTCCCTCTATAGTCACTGTCTCGATTGATCAATGGAGAATGTAGACATACATGTAGTGGGCAATGTTCTCACCAAAGGACAATGGTTCACACTCTGAATCTCTCCTGACTGTCATGAGATCAATATTTCTCGGTCTGACTCTGTTGAATTTACGCTTTAAGATAAAACACCTGGCCTTTGTATTGTGACTAGAAACACAACAGTCGACACTAATCGCTGCACAAACTCAATTTTTAGCTAGCTTATGGTCCAAGCACAAGTTGCTTAGGGACCTTCAGTGCATAGCATAGTCATTGGCTCATTGCCACCGTTTTAAACTCTAGTGCATTTAAAAACTTTTAATAATGACAAAAAGTGTTAATAATAATAACAACAATAGACATCTGAACTCTTCATGACTACTTACAGTTATTGGCCTCGCCCAGCTTTGCGTAGACGAGGACTAGGTACTTGTCTTAATGTATTTGTTATGAATCGATACTTTGTATTATTACCAACTTCACATTTTGTGTTGTTGTGCATTTTGAGAAACAATAATAATAATAATAAGTGAAATGGAGCCATTAAACAAAATACACCAGATTAAAATGTACTTGGTAAATTATTATTTTAAAATTACATAACATGAAGATTAAAATAATTATGTTATAATACTTGAAAATTAAATTAATCCAATCAACATCAATGTTGATATCTGCATTTCCTAATTTTCTTCAACCTACAGCAATATAATAAATGTAAAAGAAAAAATTTCTATAATACTAATTGGACCATTAATTGATAGTGTACCTTGCTTCCTCTGCCTCTTGTATTTCTGATCTCTCTTTATCTGTTAACTCTTTCATTGTCTCTCTATTGTCTCTAAATAATTATAAACAGTAAGAGGTGTATGTAAGTGTGTGTGTATACATAATGTGTGTATGTGTTCATTAGTACTTGTAATATATGACACGTCCATCATTATATAGTCCTAATGAGCATAATCTGTGTGAAGTGATAGAATACCATTTCAACTTATTCTCAATATCAAGATATGACATCTCAACTGGAAATGATGTACTCTAAGAGTTAAAGAGGAAGTATCTTTATTATGTTTTGTATCAATGATTAACCTCTGCACAATAGATATACTCAGTAGATATTCCACTTAACTCTGATAGCTGTAAAAAACAATAATAATGATGATTATACATACCTACACTGTATTTATTCATAGTGTTGATTATCGTATAAATTAATGTTAATATAACCTATAGATTTGTATTGGCAGCAACTGGCAGTTGTACCATTATCAATTCTACTATTTAATATGTGGCATAAAATCCAAAATTTTCCAGCTACTACTTATCACAAACAATACAGTAAACACAGTTTTAATCTTATAGCATTATAACTACTTGTTTGAACAAGTACTGTCCCATGCAGTGCAACGATAAAATTATGATTACCTTTTCAATAACATGCTTAGGATCCTCATAATCCAGTATAATTTCTTCTATTGGATCAACTGAACATTGTGATGGATGCCATCTTATAACATACACCTGTATCTGTGTATGATGCATTATCTTCTCTGGTCCTAATGAAGATTAATACAATAACCTTACTATAATCAAGTGAGGTACAGTATACTGATAATATCATATAGCAGCATTTATTGGTGAGAAACTAATTTTGGTGAGCTGGCAAATTTTAGGAAAGCACCAAATCAAGATTGCTGAAGTCACCAAAATTTAATTTACAAGTCACCAATTTAGTCAATTTCACCAAAATAAATCTTGCTACAAAGTTTAAAATGAAAATATTGAGATTATGACCTTTCAATGGTTCCACATAAAATGGTTCTGTTTCTTTTCTAGGATGAGTCATCAAATAATCACTTTGATCAGGATACACTCTACCAGGCCTCACTCCATTTTTGTGACGTAATCTCATTCTACGTACATTGAGACAAGTAAGTACATCACATGATGTACTTACTTGTCTAATTCAAGGACACAGTCAATTCCTTGTACTTTTGCTTTTTCAATAATTTGTTTCTTAAATTCTCTCACTGGTGTATACTTAGCAACAACAGACTCCATCATGTATTTACAAAACTAAAACATAAAATAAAATTAAAATTATAATAACTAATAGTCTTACATTTGTATTATCAACTTGTAATAAATATAATTTAATTCTGACTCTACCCAGTCTTACTATCAACTAGAAGATAAATGAAATATTTTTAGTTCATACAATGTATAATAGAAAGGAGAAGTGAATCAATACTTTTGATCCAGATCTGATATCCACTAATGTCTTGTGCAGTCCTGTCATTTCATATTCTTCATTATTTCTGATTCCATACATTCTAAAACGAGCAGGTGGTACACCAATCAGTGGAACTAGCTCCTCCTTCAATTCAGCTAGTGTTATTCTCTTATCAACTTGTACTTGTATCTCTGTATTGAATAATATAATATTTAATGTTCTTTATAATAATTAAGGCCTTTCTACACTAGCACTTCTAGTGCGCATTGAATCATAAAACTGGTTCTAATCATTCTACATCTGATGCAAATGGGCTTCAATGCACAATATATCAAACCACCTCTATATGTGGTTTGAATGTGCATTCAATAGATAAACAATAGCAGCTGGATCAGAAATACTATCACTTGATGCAAATTGAAGCTAAACCAGTTTAAACAGCATTACAAGTGTAAAAAGGCCTTTATACTCAATATTACTTCTTTTATCTTCTTCATTTATTGATACAGTTTTCATTATTAATCTTCCATCAGGTAGGTTGGTTGTAGTGTGAGTGGCTTCAGGTTGAGGAGGAGGTAGTGTAATGTCTAACAGTATTGAGTTAAAGTGAAAATCAAGATATCTGTGCATCAAACTATCTTTGTAATCCTCTAAAAAATCTATAGGATCCGATGATACATATATCTAAGAAGAAAGGAAAGAGCATGTGTGTCACATGTGAACAAAAAACAGTAAGAATAAGGAAATATTAAAATAATGTATAGCATGTTCCTTTTGTTTGGCCAAACTAATTAACCTGACAAAAGGTACCCATAAGGAGAATGTAGAGCATAAAAGCATATACATGTACATCATTATGGTTGCACAGGATCCATCAAATCAGGCATGCATGATTGATAGTTATACTGTTGCAGTTCCCAGTTGACATACAGACAGAGTGTGTGAGTAATCGTACACAAATAATATCTAGCACTCAAAGAATGTGAAACATTATGAGGCTTTGCCCCTGACCATGCTCCAAGATACATACATACACAGACAAACAGTACTTAAAGAATAAGGACTTTGTCCAATTAACACTTACTGTTGGTATTACAAGTTGCTCTCTGTGTAGTTTGTGTGAACTGAATAAATCTCCTTTAAAAAGCACTTCCTTTAAAGACCTTTCAACATCTTTTAAATGTATGACTGAGTGAGCTTCATTAAACAATAGTATCCTCATACATGATGAATTGAGATTAAATAACTAAAGATCAAATTGAGAGAGGGTAGGAGAGGAATGATCAATATATAATGGTATATCTTTCCTCTTACTTCTCCTATATATTGTTTCAATTCTCCAACAGTCCAACCTTCTTCACCTTTTATTGGTTTAGCTAGTCCTACTTTACCAGTTGAGAGATCAACCACTGATATCTTTAGATAAATACCTACACCATCAAACACATGTACATGTACATGTAATAAAAGGAATTGTCATTAGAGGTGAGCGATACAATGCCAAAGTACTCAATACCAGGCCTCTGATACCAAGTATTTGATACCTATTCTGGTATATACATGTATGTATTGAGCTAGTGACCATGCCCAATGGCCACACCTTTTTATAATTACAAAAATGACGGCTCATTTGCTTGATTTTTGTTAATGACTAATTATAACATATTTTGTATGTGCAGTAGCGACTATTCAGTACTCAATACCATCAATACTGATACTCAGACTACTTGGTATTGGTAACAATCGAAAAATTCTGGTATCGCCCACCTCTAATTGTTATGGTAATGATACAAGCACACTCACCTCCAGTATTGTATTCCTTAAAAGTCTCAATATCTCTACAAGTTTCTAAGAATAATCCACAATATCCAACCACACCCATAAGCTGTCCAATAGTTTGATCCTGAAACTGAATATAATAAATAATTATAACAATTATAGGGTATACATGTATCTACAGGTATGTACCTTATCAAAATCAAAGGACTGTTCCATTACATCCTTAATGAAATTATATTTGACTAAACGACATCTCTCAATAGGAATATGAGGATCTAATTCCATTAACTGATAAAGAAATGAGGAGAAAAGAAATGAAAGAATAAAACAAATTAAGCAACTAAAAACAACAAACCTCATAAGCTGTATCCAGTACTGTGGGTAGTAATTCATCTTTATGTACTTGAAATAATTTACTAGCTAATTCACCAGTAACAGGATGATTGCAATATAATAAGAACTATAAAATAAAAGGAAATCAGTGAGTACTCGCTGTCTTAGTCTCACTCACTGAAGACAGTTGATCCTCTTTATCACTTAGACTATCATACTCAATCTCTTCAACTTCAGACTCATCATCTTCAAAATCTAAACGACAATCAAATGATGACACAACATCATTAATACATGTATATAAACCTTCAATCTCTTTTATGATCTTCTTATTGTGCCTCCTTGCAGTAATTAGTTCCATATTTGCTAATGTTATTTCTTCTTGTAATTTCTCTATTATTCTTTTATTATCTACTAATGGCTGATAGTCTGGTCTTGTCATTGCTTCAAGACAGCATTTGCACTCATCAATTTCAAGAGACATTTCTCTTCTCACTTTGCTAGCAGCTTTAATTAATTATATAATTATTAGTATAATTAATAAAACTACTCTAACCTGAATCAGGATTACTAGAAAGCGATCTCAAATACTCAACCTTCATTTCTGATAATTTTTCGGACATCTCTTTGTTCCCTTCTTTAATCACCTTAAACTGAGAGCTCAATACAGTTAACTCTTTAGCAAGTGGTTCTTTCTATTAATAATTATTATAATTAATTTACTAGAAAATTTAGTGAGATATATCTATACTTTAACTTCTTTAATTGATTCAGTATCACTTTGAACAGACAGTGACTCTTCCTAAATTAAAATGTAAAAAACAGGATCATTTAGATTACACAATGATAATATAATACGTATTGCATACAATGTAATTATAGTATCAGTAGAGTATGCATGCATCATGCTAGGATTCATGTTTGCCACTCAGAGTATTAGCTAACCTCAGGTAATACCATCACTGATAGATCTTGCTTTAATTCAATTGTTTCCTAATGTACAAGTAGAACAGCATCAAAAATGTGTCTGAGTAAATTTCTCAAAATTTTACACTATAATGTGCACTTTAGCTATACACGTACTTTCTCTTTGCTACTGATAGCATCTCTTAGTCTACATTCAGCTTCTTTAAGTATAATAACCTGAATAAATAAAAATATATAACATGTAAGCATATTGCATGCATCACACATAATGTGATTAATGTATACTACAGTTATGGTCAGACCTCTGTATGTTGTAGTGAGTCTTCAACCTTTTCTTTTAGTTCCTATACAATACAATATTCATAAAACAATATTCAATTATTCATACTATGTACTTTTTTTCTAACATCTTGTCTCCTCCATAATGTTAAGTTACCAATAGTCAGTTTCTTTAATCCTTGTCCCATTAGTATATGAATATTCTCTATCATCCTCAGTACAGTAAACCCAACATCAGAGAAAGGAAAGGAGCAAGTGACACATATTGAAGTGGATGTTGCTATAAACTTAATGACCAGAAGTTTACCAGATACTTTTGATAAAATGCCCTTGATATCCTTCAGTACATGTTCCTCTGGCTCCCAGTCAAAGATAAAAGTAACTGTTTCACATTGAAGATGAAAAACAGAGTCGAACCTTTTGTCCAGACAAAGACTAACTGATATTGATTTGTAGAATTCCTTTAACTCAGTTCTATATGCCTCAATGTATTCCTTTGCTTCAGTAATCTCCATTTCTTCTACTATGCTATGAAGTAGTTCAATGTTAGTCAGTGAACATTCGTCTTTAATATGACGAAGGATGCTAGAAACATCTGAACATTGTTTAACTTTTTTACTGAGGGAAGTGCTGTAAGAAGAGAGGAACTCTTTGATGTCATCCACATCTAATTTCTTCTTTAAAAACTTGCAAACGTTATACAACATCCTTGTATAAGAAGCTTTTATTGAGCTATACTCCACAAATAAATGTTGAGGAACAGGCACTTCAACTAAAAATAGTTTCATTAATAGCAGTTATGTAATCGATACTATACTATACTTTGAGGTGATAATGGTTGTGAAGATGAATTACTACTAACTTCAGTATCAGCAGTACTACCTATAAAAGAAAAGGACAATTAAATGAACTATTCATGCATGCAGTAATGACATAAATTACATACCAGATTGTGCTGTATTGGCAGTACTTGTATTATCTATAGATGTAGACATTAATGAATGTATTAAAACAATTAATTAATTATGAATACCTTGTGGATGATCTTTAATAGTCTCAGGAACCACATCCACTTCAAGAGTAGAAAAATAATTACCTAAACACATACATGTAATAAAAAGATACACTAAATAGTATAATTAGGATATGACTCCTGTTTCTTACCACACATGACCTCATAATTGAATATATTCATTGACAAAACACATAACTTATTAACAGTAATGAATAATACTGGCCACCCACACTACACAGCCAAGAGTTAGCATGTATGATGCAAGACACTGCCCAAAATCAATGAATTGAGCCTGATTACAGTATTGATACAGTCTAACAGGTATCATTGCTGAATCATGCATGTTGCTCTGGCTGAACCAGTATGAATTCCAGCATGATTGTATCAGGGCTGATGGATCAGGCTAGGCTCATTGCAATGTTAACTACCCAAAATCCATGATTCAGGATGCATTAGGCCAGATCAGGACTGACATCATTCATGATTCAATCACAAACTCTTGGCTGTGTATGCATCAGTGTAATGGTAACAATGAACAATGAATTAATAAAAGTGGCCTTTACAACAAATTTTAAAAGATGCAGTCATTGCAGTGACTATACATTATGATACATGTACTTACTAATATCATCCAGTATAGTTTGTCCCAGTGATACATTAGTACTTATTGTACACAATACATTAGCAAATGTATGTAAACTGTTGGGATCAGTTTGAACAGCTTCTTTGACAGCAGTTGATAGAGCCTCACATTGATTAGGAATAGAAGGACTAGCTGACACCACTCTACTAACTGCTTCTTGTGTTAACATACGTTCAGCATAAAGTAACCAAGCAATACCAACAGAATCACAAAGAGACTGAGACAGGACAGTGTGATGTTTATTAAAAATATTAATAAGAGCATGATGCTCTATAAAAATACAATGATTATAGTTACACACAGTTGTGATTGACTCACTTAATTTCTCAGCTATAGCAGTTTGATTCATAGATCGTAGAGCATCTGACAGTGAGTCCAAGTTGGTTCCTCCTCTACTGTCAACATTATCAGCTCTACCTAACCATTGGGAGAGGCACTCTGTCATACAACGAAACAGATCACCATGACACTTCATTTCAATAGCATCAAGTGTATTCTTCCTTAGTCCTAGTCTCAGTCCAAGCTGATGCCATTTTGTTTCTGGAAAGCCACATCTCTGCAATAAGTCAAGAACATCAACAAGATGATCAACACCTAGACATGTAATGACAAATCAAAATGGCGGATTTAGACATCATCATGATCATCAACATCAAAGCTTAGCTAAGCTTACCTAAACAATTTTGACTAGTGGCCATAGTTATACGAGTAGTTTACTCGACTGTTTATCTAGATCTAGCGCTAGAGGGAACAAGGGCGGGGTTCCCGTTAAAATAGATAGAAGATATGCCTGAATGAATGCTGTTATCTTTGCTGTTGATCACTGTTTTATGGAAAGTGAGTTGCCTGTACTTGTCCACCACTCCAAAGCAATTTAGTTTTGGAATCAAACTTCAAAGTCATCCCAAACTTCTGAAGTTCAAGCGGAGAAATTCCAGTAGATCTATATATATACATGGGGGATTTTGGAGTAAAAAATGCTCCAAAATCACCCTAGATTTTATTATTTTTTGATACATATTGGTGTCCTTATGCTGTACAAAAAGTTTAAGCTAATTCTGACTTCAATTTTTCAAGTTATGGCCATTTTAAGAAAATGCCAAAATTCTGAAAAATACCCAAGGCTATTAGCCCATGGTTTTTCTGAAAAAATGGCTTTAAAATCACTCTAAATTTTTATTACATTTTCTGATACATATTGATGTCCTTATGCTGTATAGAAAGTTTTAGCTAATTCAAACTTCAATTTCTCAAGTTACAGCCATTTAAAGAAAACGCCAAAATTCTGAAAAATAATTATGACTTGTTTTTTCCAAAAAAAATGCTCGAAAATCACCCTAAATTTATATTATTTTGTTGATACATATTGATGTCCTTATACTGTATAAAAATTTTGAGCTAATTCTGCCTTCAATTTTTAAAGTTACCGCCATTTAAAGAAAACGCCAAAATTCTGAAAAATAATTATGACTCGGTTTTTTCCCAAAAAATGGCTCCAAAATCACCCTAAATTTTTATTACATTATCTTATACATAATTGATGTCCTTATACTATGTGCAGAGTTTGAGCTGATCTGATAATTAATTGTCAAGTTACGAGCATTAAAAAATTGCAATTACATAAGTCCATCAATATACATACATGTATATCAGAAAATGTAATAGAAATACCTATTGATGTTTTTTGGCTATAGCTCATGATACCGTATAGCGGGAAATTTTTGAGAATAACAAATTTCGCGGATTTTTTTATGATTCGCAAAATTAAATTCCTTGAAAATCAATTTAATACGGTACAAGATGGAAGAATAGTGGAAATTCGTGAAAATTAATTCCTCAAACTTCCGGATACGGGTCATTTGCGAAATTTATTACTCTCAAAAAAAACCTGCTATACGGTATTATCCCATAGTATTAACCATGGCAATAGCCCATCCTATTCTTAAATAATTTTATAATTTGTGCTGGAAGTTTTTTAATATACTGCCATTTGAAGTTTACAAATAATACTAAAGATAATTCATTGCAGTTTTGATAGATATCAGTGTTTTTATGCTACGTAGAAGTATGCTAAGTTTTTTAGTTCATAAAACATCTGAACATACATGTACATGTACATGTATTGTTTATTTATAGAAAAAGCTAAAGCTGGAAAGAGAAGACGGACCAACCCAGAGGTACTAGTACAGTATTGCTATACTTAACCTTTGTTGCTTTCCTTAGGTGCCATTTGCTGCTGCTTTAGAGAAGATTGTTAATAAACTGAGTGCTGTCCAAGAGGTGAGTGAGAAAAAATAGAATGGTGGGAGGAGTAGTGTTTGTTCTCTTTTTTAGTATTGGCCTTTTTGTAAACCAGTTTCCTCAAAAGATGTACCTGACTATTATAATTTGATAAAGTTTCCAATGGATCTTCAGACCATGAAAGATGTAAAGGAGAGAGAGAGAGAAAGAGAGGGAGGGAGGGAGAAAGAGAGAGGGTAATGGTTGATGCAAAAAAATGAAACTACCCATAATTTATGGATCAAACAATATAATAATAACAGTACATCAGCCACACTCATAATAGCCACACCTAGCAAATAATTAGACATGGTCAATCTCAAGAAGCACATAATGTTTACATCCCAAATTTTTATTGCATTTTCTGATGCATATTGATGTACTTACATGTATGCTGTAGGGCAAGTTTGAGCTAATTTAGACTTTAATTTTTTAAGTTAAGGCCATTTTAAGAAAACGCCGAAATTCTAAAAAATGCCCAAGGTTTTTCCAAAAAATGGCTCAGAAATCATCCCAAATTTTTATTACATTTTCTGATGCATATTGATGTCCTTATGCTGTGTAGCAAGTTTGAGCTAATTCCGACTTTAATTTTTCAAGTTACAGCCATTTTAGGAAAACGTCAAAATTCTAAAAAATACCCAAGGCTATATATATATATAGCCCATGGTTTTCTTCAAAAAATGGCTCCGAATCACCCCGAATTTTTATTACATTTTCTGATACATATTGATGTCTTTATGTTGTGTAGCAAGTTTGAGCTGATTCCGACTTTAATTTTTCAAGTTACGGCCATTTTAAGAAAATGTCAAAATTCTAAAAAATATATCCAAGGCTATAGCCCATTGTTTTCTTTCAAAAAATGGCTCCAAAATCACCCCAAATTTTTATTACATTTTCTGATACATATTGATGTCCTTGTGCTGTGTAGCAAGTTTGAGCTGATTCCAACTTTAATTTTTTAAGTTACGGCCATTTTAAGAAAACTCCAAATTTTTGAAAAAAACCCTGTACTATGGTATTTTCAAAAAATTGCTCCGAAATCACCCCAAATTTTTATTACATTTTCTGATACATATTGATGTCCTTATGCTGTGTAGCAAGTTTGAGCTGATTCTGACTTTAATTTTTCAAGTTACAGCCATTTTAAGAAAACACCAAAATTCTAAAAAATACCCAAGGCTATAATAGTCTATGGTTTTTTTCCAAAAAATGGCTCCAAAATCACCTCAAATTTTTATTACATTTTCTGATGCACATTAATGTCCTTATAAGTTTGAGCTGATTCCAAGTTTCCAACAAATAATTTTTGAGTTTATGAGCATTAAAAATGTTGCCATCACACAAGTTGATCAATGTACATTAGAAAATATATTAGCCATGGCAATAGCACATGCTGTTTTTCAATAATTTTTATTGTTTGTGCCAGGATTTTTTATTGTTTGTGCCAGGATTTTTTTTCTATTTTGAAGATTACAAATAATACTAATGTTAATTCATTGCAGTTCTGATAGATATCAATATTTTTATTTTACGTAGACTGTGTTAAGTTTTTGAGTTACTACATGTATGTACACTCATTTTTATTATTTCAGAATATTTGTAAGCACAAGTATGAGACAAGGCAGCAGTTTACAGAGCATGTCAATCTAATTGTTAACAATTGCATCACTTATAATGGATTCAACTCTGAATTAACAAAAACTGCCCAAAGGATGTTGGAAATGTCTAACAAAGAAATAAATCAAGTAAGTACTTCATGCAGTGTTATAATGTAATGGTGTGATTATAATGAGTGGATTCTTTGTTGTAGAACAGTCAAGCTCTTGAGAAACTAGAGCATAAGATTAATCCACTGCTGGGAGATAATCCACAAGCTGCTCTGTCCTTCCTCTGTCGTAAATCCATTGAAAGAATGAAAGCAGTACCTAATGTGAGTGATATGAGACTTAGTTTTTCATTGTACACAGTATAATTATACCTCGTGATTATTATGCTATGTCTATCTTGTCTTCCTTCATTATGTACAGTATAACTGTACCTTATTATGTTATGTCTGTCTTGCCTTTTTCTAGTCTTGGCCATTTCATTTTCCAGTATCTTCTAAGAAGTTACCAGATTATAGAATGATCATAACTAAACCAATGGACCTTCAGACTATGAGAAAGGTTTGCTCTTAAAATTATACTTAAAGTATTCATCATATGTATTTCATTGGACTATAATGCATACTTGCTCTCTTGTAGAAATGTGAGGCTGATAGTTACAGAAGTCGTGAGGAGTTTCTTGTTGATCTTAATCAAATAGTTGATAACAGTATCACATATAATGGACCAACCAGTCCCTTTACTGTCACTGCCCAGAGTATGAGGGAAGTGGGACTACAATATCTTGAAGAAGTGAAGGGAGAGAATAAAAGTAGTATTGTTTTGGGTGTATTATTTTATTATTTCTAATTTTGTATTGCTATTATGCACTTGATCAATTTTGAGCTTTAAAAATAGCAGATTTTATCAGACATGCTTTATCGATAATAATTCAATACTTTGCTCTTACCCTTTTAAAGTTTTACATTGTGTCAACTGAAATAAAGTTAAACAATTACTATTATTATCATTATTTTAGGAAAGAGAGCATTTTGAACAATATGAAAGCCAGTTAGGACCTTTTGACAAGTCACCACTAAATGAACCAGAAGGACTAGGAGGAGAGAGTGGAGATGAGGAGGCAGAGGAAGAAGATACTAGTACTAACATGAATATTACTGGACAATCCAGTGTCATCATTACTAGTGAAGACAGTATTCAGGTATGG